CTATACTATTGCATTTGATCCTGGGGTGCAGTCTGGGAATAGTTTTGGAGGTCAGTCCCAGTGAAAACCAGATAGTGTGGAAATGTGTGAGAGCATGCCATATTGTTCACCACCAGCTGAAACTACCCTTGCATGATCTCGACAAGGAATCCAGATGAATACACGATGCAAAAGGAGTCCATATTGTGTGTTGTCGTTGTAAAAAAACAGATATAGGCCGGGCAAGTATAGGGGAGCAGTATGTTCAGCCCAAGGGCTTCTGATGAGGCCAAAGCTCAGGAGAAAGTGAAAGTGATGCAGACAACAGCAGATAGTAATTCTTGGACAGCAGGTAGGAAGTAGGGAATCTAATACCAGGAGTTTTTGACAAAATTAGAGCCTATAACTACCTATCGGAGGCATCAGGCATACTGGAATAGCAAAGCAGTGAGTATTTGGTAGAAACTGTGTGGGGTTTGGACTGCAGGTGTCAGGGTACTAGGTGGAGGAAAATATAATTATGTAAGCAGCAAAAGTGTGAACCTATTGTGAGAAAAATGACTGTAAATAAAGGTGTAACAAAATAGGCCAATATAGGCTCAGCTGGAGGCCAAGTGCTATATTGTGCAAGAGTCGTTCAAGTTGTTTCTATGCAATGTGGCACTCCCTTGCATTCCTTATAAGCAGTTTATATCATATTGCTTCAAGTTGCTATCATTACTATTAATAGTACAAATACAAATATGGTGCATTGGAATGGTATGAAATGAAAGCAGTCAAAACAGTGCATGAAAACAATGGAACAAAAGCAGTAAAGCAGTCTAAGTAGCATACAACATGTGCATTCAATGCATTGAGTACAAGATACTGTTAATGACTGCCCTGACTGTATTCTTGATCCAGCATTTGAAGAAACATGAGTAAAGATTTGGATCAATACTGGAAATACAACCTGCAGCAATACCTACCAATTTAATGGCTTCAGAAGAGTAAGATCAGCATGATACTAGTGGTGAGAAAAAAAGTGTTGACACACATTGCACTGTTGGGCATGCACTCAGTCTCATAGTATTCAATAATATATTGGCTTGAATATTGTTGACAGAACTTACTAAGGCAAACACTCTGAGTTAGAGTGCTACTATTGAGGAAACTCCAGTGTTTAGGACCAGGGCTCGAGTGGATTACTAGCTGCCTGTGGTATTATTGTATGGAGAAATATAGAACAAGAGAGGTGTTGATGATATCATGAAGGTGGACTTTAGATTTGAAAAGCTTTTGTTACTTTGCGCACTGCAGTGACATATATATGCAAGCAGCAGATAGCAAATGTAAACATTGCAGAACTCATGTAGATGCAAAATAAGTGTAAGGAAAGCAGAATTGATGCAAATTTTGTGCAAAGTTCATGCATTTGTATGCACTGCACTCACAAGAAAATACTCATTATTTGCTATCAATCAGATCTACAAGATTTGGCACTTTGCATAACACTCGCATGCTCTCACATACTCCTGCACTGTCCAGTTTTCACTAGGGGTTAGTGATGAGTGTGAGGTCAATAATCTAAGCATGGGAAACAATGTCTGAAGGTATAATTATGATGTTTGATACAAAAGCATCAGGTTCATCGATGTCAACTAAAAACTATGAAATATCAGGTTTGATCCCTAAGTGTCAGAGAATGGCTCTCCTCTACTTGGATGATGAATGATACTTGTGGAGACTGCAATATTTATGTAGATACATAGAAATCCAGGAACCTACAGGCAAAAGTAGTAGCACAATGTTTCAGATCTCATATCCTATATAATAAGACATGAGGTGCTGCAGACTTGCAATATCTAATAAGCTGATAGGATGTTCAATTTTTGGGTTTGGTGCATATTGAGTTGGGTATGATGAAGAGTAACTTAGGCAATGCTTAGCAGTTAACATGTATCAGAAAATAGACCTCTATGAGGCCACAGAGACATGAGTCTCTACACCACTCTCAGTTGTCCAACTTAGTGTACAAAGTGCTGTTAGCTCTCTGGGCTGCTCACCTGTTTTGCCCATAAAAGAAGACCTCTCTGTTTAATCTCAAAATTGACTTCCTTGGACACCATATTTCCACATGAGGTATAGAACCAGATAAGTTGAGGAGGCCCCACCTTCCCCAAAGTGCACATAAGGGGAGTGGAGGGCCGGACATTACCAACATAGTGTAAATTGTTAGTTTGCTGAGAAAAGTTGAAAAGTTGAAAAGTCCTTCTTACAGCTATAAGAAGGGGAAATTTTCACTATAGCTCATCAGCAAGTTTTTGTTGTTTAAATAAGGAGGATGGAAATCATCAGTCATTATCAAAATGTTATCGTCCAATGTCAGTTCTGGAAAAAAAAACCACAAGAATTATACTGTGGGATCTTAAAAGAGACCTATTTCCTATCTTCTGTACATCATATGAACAGTAAATACCATGCTGTCAAAACTATTTTCTCATGTAGAAGAAATTAGCATTGTAACCATCAAAGAACCAAGCTAACAATAGATAGATCATTCATCACATGGGCAGGTACCAGGACAGTTGAAGGCCAGTGAGGCCAGAAAGGCTAGATCCAAACAGAATATAAAGAACTGCTTCTCAGGGAACCAAAGAAGCAAGGAATCACCCAAGCTTCTAACCCTAAGGACGTGCCTAGGCTGGTCCAGATCCTTCATCACATCAACTTTCTTTCTCACATTGGTAGGTTCCAGACCTGGCAGTGGCCAGCTTAGTAAGTGGTGTGATTATGAGAAAACACCATGTGACACAATCCTGTGGGAAAGTATCACATGATAAATAGTTTTTATGAGATTTATCTGCAACTCCAAGAATTCATTAAAATCTCTGGAGATTGCTGCAAGCGCACCCACAATGTGGGTGGCAATCAAATGGGGATTCTAAAAACAGAATCACCATGAGGTAATCTAGTCTGATTAGGTAGATATTGTAACCATACTTGAAAAAAGTATCATAGTTGCTTATATTTAGTCCTAAAGACTGTTAGAGCTGTACTCGGAGGGTTAATAGATCTGAAAGGGCTTTGGCCTCATCTTGTGCGCTGTACCCCTTACCCAAGTATGTGCCCTTTCAATTTTGGATGAAGTCCAAAGGGGAGTTCTGGTGAAGTCCAGAGAGAAACTCCGGATGAACTCTTTGGCTGGATTGCTCAATAGAGCACCAACGGACTTCCAGATAAGTGTGGGAAAGCACACTGGAACTACTTCTGGAGTGAGGGGATTAATGGTAAGACTACTGGAACGAGTTCCAAGTAGAATGGATGGAGGACTTGACCACTGGATGAAGTCTAGGGCAGGATAGGAGCCAAGCTCCGGAGGGAAAGGAGATCTGCAGGAGTCAGAGGACATGATAGGATAGGTCCAAAGGTAGGAGGAGTGGAGTAGTGAAGGATTGGACGAGATGGATGGATGGATGGATGGAGGAGTGGAGCTCTGTGGATCTAAGGGGTAGTGTGAACTACTATGGTGGAGTAGGTCTAGAGGTTGTGTAAGGATAGTGTAGACTACTCTGGACAAGATCCAGAATAGAAACAAACAAAAGCAATGATTAGACTGAGGTCTGCAGGAGTTGTACTACAAGTTTATATACTGTAGGTAGCATAACAGAAGATCAGTAAGCATAGTCCGAGGCTATGTATGTAGCACACAGAAACACATTGGTAAGTACAACAGAACATAGGTTTGATGAACTCGGAGATGAAACTTGTACAGAATACATTATCAAGATGGAAGCAGAGATAACCGATGTAGGACTTGGAGTCCTTGTGGCCTTGTAGAGGTCTATTTTCCAATGCATATTGAATGCTAATCATTACCCAAATCATTCCCTATCATATCCGACTTGATATGCACCAAATCCAAAAACATCGGACATCAGACATCAGGTTTCGCATCGGCCTATTGGATATCATGCGCACTCATCCTACCTATGTCCAGTCTCATTGCGCTAGCCCCACTAGATGCATAGTTACTTGTTTTCACATCCCTAACATTGTCGACCACATTATTACATGTATTCCCATAGTCCGCAGTACATCATGTCTTATTACATAGGACATCAGACCCAAAATATTGTGCTACTACTTTTGCCTATAGGGTTCTGGATTTCTACATATCCACATAAATATTAGACTCCCCATAGCATCATCATCATCCGAGTAGAGGAAAATCATCTCTGACACTTAGGGATCAAACCTGATATTTCATAGTTCTTAGTTGACATTGTGAATATCATCATTCCTTCACCATCCATATCCATCATCATTATTATTGTGCACACCGCTCACTTTCCCGATGCTCGCTATCGTGTAGCTATTAGTTTCCGATACACTGAACCCAAACCCGATAACCCAAAACCCAAAAAACATCGGACCTGACGCTTTTGCATCAGACATCATAATTATACCTTTGTACATTGTTTCCCATGCTTGGATTATTGACCTCACATCACTCACTGACCCCCAAAACTATTCCCAGACCGCAGACCCCTGGGTCAAATGCACTTGTCTCACTAAGTATAGCAGATAGGCAGTGCAAGACCACAACATAAAGATATCAGTTTGGAGCCATCTTTGTATAGCTCCACTCTGTGTTGTATACCTACACCGAGAGCCGGAGACACAGGTATATCCTAAATGGGGTAATGCACAGGTGCACGGGAATAGTTTCAGATAGGACCACAAATGAGATCTGAAGGTCTGAAAGCCAGGGATTTGGATAGGACATAGATGAGAATTGGATGGAGTATGGATTGGATGTGTGAACTGGAGTGGGTGGGGATCATATGGATATGTCCGGATATATGAGGATTTGAACAAGATATCATAGTGGAAGTGGGGTGTAGAAACCAATATATGACAAAGACTATCAATTCATCTGAAATGGATCTATAAGAAACTAGAGGTGTTCACATGTCCTCGTCAAAGAGAATGTCGGTGAGATTGTCGTTGAATGTTTGCAGCATGTCAGAGAGTGCTGACTTTTTCCAGGTATTTGAAAGGTCGAATAAGTTTCTTGTTTGTTTCCTAGATACTAAGAATCTGTGGTCACACAGCCCAGCTTTGTAAATGTCGAAAATGCGCCCAGACAGGAAGTCACTCATCCACTTCCTTGGGGCTGTAGATGGTGTGGGCTGCAGCCACTCTTCCATAGGTTTGTTAATGGATTTATGAAGCTCTCTCATTTGTTCATATTTATGTTCAAGATGAGAGTGCCAGGGGCCAGTGATTGCTTCTCCAAGCTCTTTGACATTGAAAAGTGTCCATGCTAGATTAGGACAAAATGTTTGTTGTTCCTGCATTTTCATTGCTTAGATGTTTATTCCAATGCTTTTGGAAGTCATCTTTCACCCAATGTTTCAGAAGATTATGTGGATAACCGCAATGGATGTATAATGACATTAAGTCAGAAATACTCTCAGTAGAATGGGACTCATTCTTTAGAACCTTGTCAGTTTCAAAAGCCCAATCTTTGAAGAAGGCACCCCAAAGGTTTGCAATGTCAGGGGAGCAAGTGACTCCCATGGCTAGACCTTGCATTTGGTGGTAAGTGATGCCATCATACTTATGTAAAAGGTTATAATTAGCCAATCGAATCACACGATTAAAAACTTCTTTTTCCTGAGATTTTTCTGGGTATCCAAGATCATATATTTGGACCATTAGGTTGATAGTATGATCAAGGGGTAGGGATGTGTAAAAAGCTATGACATCACCAGTAACCAAGAATTTCTTTTGGTAAGGGTTAAAATGTGTTTTTGCTAGTTGTTGCACCAATTGCTTGGTTTCTTTCAGAACATGAGGCACTCTGTCTAAGAACAGTTTTAAACACTTCAAAACATATTTAGCTGCTGGTGCTTGTGCACATGAATGACACAGTACAATTGGTCTAAATTTGACTGGTTGTTTGTGTATTTTTGGAATCCTGTAAAACCTCAGTATGGCCTGTTCCAAATTACTATCCTCAGAACATTTAGATACAAGGAATTTGCACAGCTGTTCATTTGCTCCAGCAGCTTCCACTAGTTTAGAAAGCTTGCGAATCTTTGCTACTGTTTCATCAAGGATGAGTTGGTGTTCTGTAGGATCTATGATTTCATAGCTATTCCTGTCGCCTAAGCATGCCTTGCATCTGTCTGTGAACCATTGTCTCGTGATGATTGCACATCCAAGATTTTTGTCTGTCATGGTTACCATGTAATTGCAAGCGGTAAGCATTGCTTTAAGTTTAATCAGATCTAAAATTTGAGATCAATTAGATTTAAAAATCCCACTTAAGGCCCTGGAAGTGGATATATGTTGTTCCACAAATTCCTTTCCTTTAGCAAGACCATGCTCAATGTATGAATCCAATTTATCAGCTTCCTTTTGTCTAGGAAGTTTTAAATTGTAGTCTGGGTTATAATCAGTAGGAACTTCATCAAGTTTGCCATGCACCATTTCTCTTATAAAATACACTTTCTATCGAAGACATTTACAGAAGTCATTGTATGCATTGATAATAAGTCCATCATCATATGGACAAAATAGCATATATTGTAGTCCTACACCAAACATCCTACAAATTGAGGTATCCAACATTACACCAGGTCTGATATGCACATCATGATATATCTTGGCTGCCCTCTTTACTTCTGGAGGGGCTATCTTGATAAGTAGGTTGATTGCAATCCTAGTGGGGATGTTAGGTATAGAGTCGGAATATGTAAGCAGATTACTGCAATTGACATATTTTAAAGTATCTTTTACTTTCTGGACCACTTCTCTTTCCCTTTCTTGCTCTTGAAGCTGGCAGAAGGTTGTTTGGAAGATCCTTTTACTTTTTTGTTTGGGTTAGATTTCTTCTTCTTTGGAGCTTAAACCTTCGCCTTCTCTGCTGCTTTCTTCTGATTCTTCCCCCTGGATGCATTTCCTGGGAGTTAATGAGTTGTTGTGATGATTAGACTTCAAGCACAACAACCCACTTTTTTTATCAGAGTCTGTTAATTTGAGCTTTGAAAGTGCTGCAGGTTGTATTTCCAGTATTGATCCAAATCTTTACTCATGTTTCCTCAAATATCTGGATCAAAAATACAGTCGGGGCAGTCATCAATGGTACCTTGCACTCAATGCATTGAATGCACATGTTGCATGCTACTTAGACTGCTTTACTGCTTTTGTTCCATTGTTTTCATGCACTGTTTTGACTGCTTTCATTTCATACCATTCCAATGCACCATATTTGTATTTGTACTATTAATAGTAATGATAGCAACTTGAAGCAATATGATATAAACTGCTTATAAGGAATGCAAGGGAGTGCCACATTGTGTAGAAACAACTTGAACGACTCTTGCACGACAACACACAATATGGACTCCTTTTGCATCATATATTTGTCTGAATTTCTTGTCGAGATTATGCAAAGGTAGTTTCAGCTTGTGGTGCACAATGTGGCATGCTCTCACACATTCCCACACTGTCCAGTTTTCACTGGGATTGACCCCCAAGACTATTTCCAGACCACAGACCCCTGGATCAAATGCAATTATCTCTCAAGTATAGAAAAAGATAATAGTGCAAGTTGTGCTTTGAACTTAGTGATGGAAAAGTCCAGTTTGGTCCAGTTCTCCAGGAAATTCAGAGAACTGTGGACCAGACCTTCAGTTCAGTCTAATAATGGTCCAGTTCTGGTTCAGCAAGAGTTTGAACTGAGAACCGGACCAACAAAAAGATACAAAACATTTCTTGCAAACATAGCTAGGGACAAAAGTAGGTAAACTAGTACTACATTAGATCAACTCTTCGTCATCTTCATCATGGAGTACAGCAATTAATGAATTTAGATATTGTTTAGTATCACTAGCAGCTGAGAAGTGTCCGTTGTGATATGCACTCTTCAGCAGCTGCAAGCTCTCAAATACATCCTTCTTGAGAGGATTGTATCACTTCATGCTAGTTGGGCCACCACTCGAGAATGCATGCTCCAATGCAGTACTACTACCCTGGATAGCCAGATAATCCCTAGCCATGCGTGAAAGTGTCACATATAATGACTGGTGATGCTGCAGTAATCAAGCTAGGTTAGATACAAATGGACTCACAACAACAACAAAAACTTACACCCCACCAACCTATAATGTCTTCCATCTGCTCAAGAGGACTCTGGAGGTATGCTGTAAGTTCAGCATGAGGCCTAAGCTAGGTGCAATCAGATACTTGACATGCTAGGACAGCAGCAAAGACCCAGGAACAACCATATTGGGCTTGACCAGGTGGGGCTTGTTCAATGTCTGCATCTGCAGGAGCTGAGATGGAAGGGATAGTATAGTACTTGTCAAACTATTGAAACATGTTAGTAAATATTTAATGATCAACAAATGTTATACATACAATGTGTTCGAGATTTTTGAGGCTGACTTTGAATGATTCTTCATTCCACTGATACTCAGAGTATGTGACCTTGACATTAGGATTAAGTGCTGCAAATCAAGTCATTAGTGTTGTAATAAGACAATAAATACAAAAAAATACCAAGACAGATAAAGTATGCATTAGTATCTTTTGTTTTGTCATACCACTTTGTGACATTGTTCAATCCCTTGTGAATAGCATCATGAACTTGTGAAAATCAAGAAAGAGCAGCCATATTTTCCTAGGACTTTTGCAAAAACTTGAGGACAGGAATTGTGCGCCAGATGCAAGGATCAGAAGAATTGGAAAAGGTTTTTGTGGCACTTGCTGGGTCCCACTAAAATATTAGCGCACAAATAAATGAAATCAAACTAAATATACATACCTGAAGAACTTCATGCACCAATTTCATTTTCTCCTAGTCCTTTTTGTTGAGGCAAAAGTCAGCATAACATCTGCTGCCTTTGAGGCTAGGGACATCCTCGCTGTCATCTGCAAGCTCGACAAAAAGATTGACACCCTAGAAAGATTAATGAGCTCATAGATGTGCAACATATGCATATGATATGAGAAACAAACCTTCTGAAGTAACAACATCTGTGTAATGAAACTGTGCATAGAAGCCCACCGAGTTTGTATCCACTGTGTAAGCTCTAGGACAGAGACATCTGCCTGCTTACATAACTGGGCAAAGAATGCACAGGCCTGAGGTAAAGTACAAATCTATAATTGAGAGTTAGTAGAATATAAGCCAGATGCAAGTCGAGACAAACCTGCTTCATGAGTGTAAGAGCCTTTCTAATTGAGTTACCAACTCCAAAGTCATCATCCTCATCATCCCCATCCTCACATTCATCTGCTCCCTCATAATTAACCTCCTCTAAGCTAGCATCTAAGGCATCCAAATCTATTGTCTTACCCTCTATTTCTGAGTGTTTCGGTGCTACCTTGATTTTCTTCAGAAGTTTGTGGCTAGATGTTGGTGAGATGACCATGAGAAAATGTCCAGCCACAAGGTACCACCCTTAGACCACTTTGGACAAGTACTTTGGTACTTCGGACACATTCTTGGAACATCAAGCACAGTCTTGGTAGCTTTCCCTTCTCTCATCTTTGATCTTAACAAGATATCCCTTGCATTATATCAAGGAGCATTTCTATAGGCAGTCTCTTTGGGACGAGCATATCACTTGCACATTGAGTTCTGAAGGTAACACTTTGTAGAGTTTACACAGAATCAACTCTTTACATCGGTAAGGTTCAAGGGCCTTGTCAAGATGAAGGGCTAGCAAGAATACAGCTAAGGTGCAGGGAGCGACTTAGAAGTGCAATCAAGGGTTTCAAGGAAAGCTAGTTGATTAGACAAACTAGTTCTGGGGAAAACCTAGTAGATCAAAGTGAAGAAATACAACAGTGATCTGTCTACTTATATATGTCTGTACATAAGAGTTCGGGCTCAGCTTGTATCTGGGGATATATGCGAGTCATGGTGAGTCAGAGATAATGGTACATGAGTTGGTCCATGAGGTCAGATAAGATACATGAGGCTTAACCTCTGATCAAACATGAGGCAGCATGAGGCAACATGCACTGGTCTAGGTGCACATAAGGTGAACAGCCTCTGGAAATCAGAAACAGGGCCTTCTAGGCCATGGTGGTATCATAGCGGGTCCAGACTGCTATCATTCTAGGTTCTGGCAGTGTTCCGCTGCGTCAGTGAGTCTAGCAGAGTGGGGACTCATGCATATGTTATAGTTGACTGTAACAGTTCTTTCAATAGCATGGTCACTGTTGATTCTTTTATTCTGCTTTTTTCCTCTAAAAATTACCAGAGGCAATGCAAGTATCTTTGACACAAAGTTCAATATATGACCAAAGTCAA